GAGTCTGAAGCAGGAGAATGGCGTGAACCTGGGAGGTGGAGGTTGCAGTGAGCCGAAATCGCGCCACTGCACTCCAGCCTGGGCGACAGAGTGAGACTCCGTCTCACAAAAAACAAACAAACAACAACAACAACAAACACCAAAACCAAACAAAAAACACAACATGAAAAAATGATGTTCCTGGTGCAGGGATGCAGAGTAGATTGTCAACTTAATGCTGAAATTAAAGAAATCTCCATTTTTTTTTTTGGTCCCATCCTAATTCTCTCTACCTGTGCTGCATCTCCCGTGGTAGAGTAGAAGAAACCCTTATGATGCACACAAAGCGTTCATGTAGGAAATACAGGCAAATGGAGCTGGCCCAAGGGTGTCCTCAGGGCCTTACAAGAAGCACACGTGGGAAGCACACTGTGCAGCAGCCCTGAGGGCCACAGCCCGGCTCCTCACCTGCACGTTCTCTCTGATCCGCTGCTCATTGTAGCTCTTGGCCAGGACCACAACCCCACGCTGCAGCTGGTAGCGCAGGGCAATCAGGGCTGGGGTTCGCTTGTGCTTTTTTGCCAAAGCACAAAGGACTGGGTCCTCCAAGAGAACCGGGGAGTTCTGGTCCACCCTGGAAGGAAAGGCGGAAATGCTGAAGCCCTGAGGCTGGGGATAGAGTTTGTTAAGCGGTTCCCTAAACAGACTAAGTTGTCCACTCTGCACCAGAGCTGTTCAAGCGAGGCCCCCAAGCACCACCATTAGCATCATCTGAGATCTCATCAGAAATGCAGTTCTCTCCTCTCTTGGAGCCACTTGAGACTACAGGAAACGGAGGATGCTCTGACTAAAACATTTTCTGCAAAATGGAGGTTTATGTAAAGGTCCCATTGTGTTTTATTACCATCGTTTGTCTCGCTGAGATCCCAGAGCACTATAGGCAACCAGAACAATATCTTTTGACTTGCAGAAATCTAGCAATTTACTCTGGTTGAAATACGGATGACATTCTACCTGCAGTTGACCAAAAGAGAGAAGCATCAATTTATATGAAATAATTGTGTTAATATAAAAAAGGTGAAAGTGAAGAAGCTGAATAATAATCAGTATAGTATTATATCTGAGCTAAGGATATTATTGTCAAGTAATAATCTTTTTCATAGAAATATATTTTATAACCATATCTCCTAAAAGTATAAATAGAAATGCCATTTCTGAACAGAAGCTCATCTATGAATCAGATCCTGACTTTCAAAGACCTTTGATAACTAGAAGGAGATGTAACAAATTCCGTATCTGGGATACAGTAAGATTCTTAGAGCCTTTGGCATCAGATTGTGCCAGAAAGCAAGAATTTGGTCAAGGACTCATGGGGGCAAGTCTGAAAGACAAAAGCACTACTTTCAAAGAAATGTCACTGGTGACGTTTGGATAGATTTCAGCATCAAGAAAAAAGTTTACCCATTGGGTAAGAATAAGCACTAACAAAAATTAATAAAATTAATTAAAAATCTTAAGGAAAAATGTCCAAGTCCATAGTAATGAGGGACATAATGAGAGAGCAAGAAAGAACAAAATAATCTGCCTCTACCATTGGTGGTTATTACAGTAATTTCTTTATCAGGAAATTGATATTTAGAGGAAAGTATTAAACTTGTACTTTGTCTTTGAGGAATATTTGTTCTTCATTTTGATTTGGTGAAAGATTCTTTTTCATAGTAAAATGTCACATTAGAATAGTTAAATAAGTTTTTAAAATTGAAAATGATTATCTAAAAACTCCAAAAAATAATACAATAATAACCATAAAATACAAAAATATTAGTGATATATATACAATCATATGTGAAGATTTGTCAGGAAATATGACTTCTTCTGTTG